TCTTTGCTGCACTTGACTATATTACCGACAGTAATCAAGATGGGACAAGACATACCCCTCCCCATCTTCACAACAACTTTGTCAATATGACTTGACCATGATAATTGACCATCCAATGTTATACATAGGAGTTTACTTTCCTCAACTTGCTCAATGGTCACACCCTTTATGTATAACTCCAGTTATACTCCAGTTAGAGAATGTTTTACACCAAATCCAATGCTCTAAGTAAGTTTTAGATGTATTTAAGACCAGTTTATTATTAATCACCCATTCTGATACTGACTCCTTATTTAGAATTTCATTGAGCTCACTGGCTTTGGGTGCGGACATGTAGTGTGGAATCATCCGCATACATAGTCATTCTAGCTTCATGTAAGACCAGTGGCAAATCATTTGTAAAAATAGAGAAGAGTAACGGCCCAAGGCAACTGCCCTGAGGGACACCGCACTGTACATATCTGATGTTAGAGAAGCTTCCATTGAAGAACACTCTCTGGGTTCTATTGGATAAATAACTCTCCAACCATGTGATGGCAGGTGATGTAAAGCCATAGCATGTGATTTTTTTTCAATAACAATTTATGAACAATAACATCAAAGCCTGCACTGAAATCTAACAATACAGCTCCAACTATCATCTTATTATCCATCTTATTATATTTAACCAATCATCAGTCATCTGTTCAGTGCAGTACAAGTTGAGTGCCCTTCTCTATATGCATGTTGTAAGTCAGTAGTTAACTTGTTCTCTGAAAAATAGCATTGTATTTGGTCAAACACAATCTTCTCCATCAGTTTACTAAGAACAGGCAGCAAACTGATTGGGTGGCTGTTAGAACCAGCAAGGGGTGCTTTACTATTTTTAGGAAGTGGAATTACTTTAGCTTCTTTCCACACCTGTGGACACACACACTCTTTTAGGCTTTGGTTAAATATACGTATAGCAAATAGGGCTGGCAATAAAGGCTGCTACCATTCTCAATAGTGTCCCATCAAGGTTGTCTATACCTGGTGGCTCGTCATTATTGACGGATAACAATTTTTTTTCCACCTCTCCCACACTAACTTGACCTAATTCAAAACAGAAATCCTTCTCTTTCATTATTAGATCTTTTATACAAAAATATGATGGTTCACTGTTCAATGTTGTCATTTCACTTCTGAGTTTTTCCACTTTACTAGTAAAATAATCATTGAAATGATTGGCAATATCGAAAGGTTTTGTTATAAATGACACATCAACTTCAATGAACAACAGAGATTAATTGGGTTTTCTGCCCATGATATCATTTAAGGTACTCATCATTTAAAGTATTTTTCCATAGTGTTTTATGTAATTTATCTTTGTTTGGTAATAAAATGTATTTTCTTTTTGGTAAGTTTAGTCATAACATTTCTCAATTTACAGTATGTCAACCAATCAGCTGAGCAGCAGGTGGTGGTGTGCTGGTCACAGCTACTCATATATAGACATATGAATACAAGCTTTGCTTTTATACTTACAAGACCATAATGCTTGATTGAGCGAGCTGTTTTGTCTTGTGGTAATGTGGTTGTCACGATCGTCTAAGGAGGAGGACCAATGCGCAGCGTTGAAGGTGAACATATTTATATTTATTTAATGATCACACGATCAAAACAACAAACGAAAAACGTGACGTCTATGGTCTAAACACAAACCAACACGAACAAGAAACCACAAACACAAAGTGAAAGACAGACAGTTAAATATGGCTCCCAATCAGAGACAACCAGCTGACACTCGTTGCCTCTGATTGGGAGTCACTCAGGCCAACATAGATAGACAACGACTAGAACCTAAACAAAATAAACACCCTGGCTCAACATACGAGAGTCCCCAGAGCCAGGGCGTGACAGTGGTGCCTACCTGTATTTCCTTAACCCTTTACACTCGTGTGAATTAGCCTATATGGATAGGGCTAAATGGAAATGTTTTTTACAGAATAAATATGAAAAGCATATGCATAACCATGGTAACAAAAAGGAACAGTTTGGAGATTATGGGAAAAGTTTTAGACCAAAGGTGAGGACACAACAGTTCACCTGACAAGACTGAATCCAAATATTACACTGTTGATTTTATGTTAATTTTAAATGTACTGTACTTTTCGCTGCATTTGTTGATAATGAAATCTGAAAATACTCTGGATACATTCAGTAACATGATAAGAATATTCCTGGAAAATGTGTTGTAGGTGCAACATAAGGGTTTAAGTGAGAGGACTAACTGGTTTCTCCAAGTGGCCACATGCTTCTCTAAAGTGTGCACAGTTCCTAAGTAATTTCAATGCACTTTTATGACTCAAAGAAGAGTCTTCAATTATAAGGAGATTTTTTGAGCTCTCCTAGCTGTGCCATTGAGGAACTAGAGCAAACTCACTTGTAGTTGTTTTGTTTGGAACACAACCCTGAATCACCGCCCTCACACAATTACTGTTGTTGTTTACGCAATACAAAAATGTCCATTATAAATCGCAATCTGGGTCAGGTGGGTATAATTTGAAAGCCTGTTCTATTGCCAACATGAGTTATAAAGTATAAGTTATAAAATATGATATTACAGTTTTAGGCTTTCACAATGCAATTTCAGGGTGTGCATCGAAAGGAGTTATGAGTGCATTCAGGTGCGTGTGCAGTGGCAATCTTTTTTCACAATAGACAAACATAGGCTCATTCTGTTCAGAACAACCAAGGGTATGACGCCATGTCATCTTGTAACTGTACATCAAACATAGTGATCATAAACGTTGACGCTGTATATGATATGAGTTTTATGATATGGAAATGTGAAGTGCGCATTTGGCTTGCTTGTATGACATCAAAGCGGTATTTATTATAATCCTCAACCTCTCATCTTTCAAAATACATAGAGTCCTCTTAACTTACAACATTTCCCTCAATTAGAACACAAAACATTTGCTAAATCATTGTACCATCTAAATCGCTGTGAAATATCCTTTCAATAACAAAAAATATTGTTTTTACAGCTGTTTGAAGCTGGTGGACCAAAATTAAAGTTATTTTCGGTTTTGGTCCACCAGCTTCCAGTGGTGTGTAAAGTACTAAAGTAAAAATAAAGTACTACTTAAGTAGTTTTTTATTTGTATCTGTACTTTATTATTTATAGTTTTGACAACTTATACTTTTACTCCACTACATTCCTAAAGAACATATGTACTTATTACCCCCATACATTTTCCCTGACACCCAAAAGTACTTTTTGAATGCTCAGGCAGGACAGCAATATGGTTCAAATTTACACACCTATCAATATAACGAGTTGTCATCCCTACTGCCTCTGATATGGAAGACTCACTAAACACAAATACTGTGTTTGTAAATGATGTCTGAGTGTTGCAGTGTGCCCGTTTGTCCGTAAATTTAAAAAAAACAAGAAGATTGTGCTGTCTGGTTTGCTTAATATAAGGATTTTGATGTAGTATTTACAAGTATGACAATTTAGTACTTTTTCCACCACTGTACTTAAGTACATTTAAAACCAGATACTTTTAGACTTTTACTCAAGTAGTATTTTACTGGGTTACTTTCACTTTTACTTGAGTCATTTTCTGTTAAGGTATCTAGAACTTTTACTCAAGTATAACAATTGAGTACTTTTTCCACCACTGCCAGCTTCAAACAGCGGTTTTGGTCCACCAGCTTATTTTTTGTTACTAAAAATATATTCCACAACAAAAAATATATTTCACAGCGATTAAGATAGTACAATGATTCCCTACACTATTCAGCACTTGTTTTCTCACATAAACTGAAATTGGGCGAACAGTGTAGAATTCTTGCAACCAGCAATTTCCACTAGATAACAGAGCTACAACGTCAGAGCAGCTTTCCCAGTTTGACAACAGATGCCACTCTGGCCGGAGAAATCAATAGGCGAATATCACAGCCAATCACAACGCTGGCGGGTAAGTAATACTGTTAAACACTATCATTCCACTATTAGCACCAGATATATTATGATTTTTGTTATTTATTACAATGCAAAAATTCAATAAAATCCTATGTGTAGCACCTTTAACTGCACATACAGAACTAACATCAACAACATGCATGCCAGTCTTTCCTGGTTGAGGGTTGACGAAAGAGTAACTGCTTCTCTTCTAGTTTTCATGAGAAATATTACTGTGATGGAAATTCCAGGTTGTCTGCATAATCAAATAACATTCAGCTCAGACACCCATACATACCCCACAACACATGCCACAAGTCCAAAACGAATTCATGGCAACACACAGTTTTATACAGAGCCATGATCGCATGGAACTCCCTTCCATCTCCAATAACTCAAGCAAACAGCAAAATTACCTTTAAAAAACTGATTAAACAACTAATGGAACGGCAGGGACTGTGAGGAGACACACAGACACACTCTAACGCACACAATTATTTTGTTGTATTGTTTGTATAATTTTTTTGTTGTGTTGTTTGTATATCGTTTTATTTTACATTTGTGTGACTGTCCTTGTCTATCAGTGTATCAGTGTTTTGTTACTTGTCATGTTTCGTGTTTTTTGTGGACCCCAGGAAGAGTAGTTGCTGCTTCTGCAAAAGCTAATGGGGTTTAGAATAAACAAACAAACAAGTAAAATAGCTGGAGGCTCCGATTCGACATGGACCGAGACAGAGAAACCCAGCGAGAACAGGACGCTACCAGACACTAACAGAGCTCCCACAGTTTGTTGTCAACAAACTGAACAACTTCCAACCATACTAAATGTGTCTGTCTGTCTGTCTCTTTCTCCCCTAGCTACTTTCAGATCTCTGTCCCCTGTTGTCCTTTGTTGTTTTCGTTTGATTCTCTCGCTCTCAGTCTCTCTGTCTGGTTTACCTTGCGTGGTCAGACAATTTTTTTTTCTGTCTGTCATTTTCTCCCTTGGCTACTTTCAGATTAAATGTCTGTCTGTCTGTCTCTCTCAGTTTCTGTCTGGTTTACCTAGCTCTCTCTAAGTATCTGTCTAGTTTTTACCTTGCGTGGTCAGACAGTTGTTTTGCAGGTTTAGTGTCTCCAACTGCTGCAGACGTGTCAGGTCCTCAATGGTTACTATCTTTATCTGGTTGTTCTGAGACGAAGAGGAGGCAAAGGTATTATTGGCAGAACAGCAATGCTTCATTCATTCATTATTGATTGACTTAGAGAAAATGTACTCCTACCCTGGACATGTCCAGCATTCACTTATGTGCTTTAAACCTTAAATCATTCCTACAAAGAAACATCTATCGGGTTTTAGGTGTGTGTGACCCACCTGGAACAAGATCTATCAGGTATTGGGAGTGTCTGTCAATGTCTGACTCAATAGTGCTACCTGACTGATGTATCTAATGGATGTCTGAGACCCAACTGTAGGGAGAGAATGTAGGTGTTGTGTTGGGTGTGTGTGACCCACCTGCAGCGAGAGAATCCGTGTGCTCTCAGACAGCTCACTAGGAAAGTCCATGAGGTCTACCCCAGCACAGTCCACCACTCCCTCTGTACAGGTACATTCCCCTGGACATACAACCGGCTCGGCCTTCACTACAGCCGGGACTGTAAAGGTCTCTATCTCTGTCTCTGTCTCCTCCATGGGTTCTTCCTCCTCCTCCTCTTCCTTCTGGGGCTCCAGAGGGGCCTGGCAGTGTACCAGAGCCCAGGCCAGGAGCAGCACACTCAGGCCCTGAAAGAGAGACCTCCTGGGGCTGGCCATGTCTGCTGGTCGTGCCTGGAGGTCAAGCTACCTCAGATACCTCAGCTGCCCAGAAGCACCAATGATCAGATGGGTCTATATAACAGTGTAATAAATCAATGCATGGATATATTTTTTTTTAAACTATGATCAGTGACCATAGATAAGATATCAAGAACAAATATATTTAACAGCTTTACAGAGGATTTCAAGCAATGGTTCTAAAGTGGCAAGTGCTATTGAGACAGAAAAATAGATCATAAAACATAAAAGGGTGTGTGTATATAGGATAGGTAGCTCACAGGACATTAGATTTTTAAAAAAGAGTGTGTGTGGAAAAGGTTGCTTACATTGTCAGAACAGCAGGCCTCCTGGCAAAAGGGCAGGCTAACGAGGACAGGATGTGTATTGTCTGGGACAAGAACAAACCATCTGCTTTTGTGTTGAAACATTTTCGTGATAGACATTATGTTCCTGTTTTGGCGTATATTAAACATCTATTCTCTAATTTATTGCCACCAGCATTATCTCTATACTGTAACTTCTTGTGCAATTCTGGTAGACTATTTTCCATATAGTGGAGTGAAATATTTACAAAGTATTTTGTTGTTTTTTAACATTAAAGGCATTGTACTGTTGATATTATTCTCCCAGCAGGCAGAAAGTGTCCCAGTAGAGAAGTGTTTCGGTCCTATGGTCAATCAGGAAAAAGCTCTGCAGTGTAGTCATCTCCTCCTGTGCTGAGGGACAAGTTCCAAACAGGCAGTTTGTGTGTGTGTGTGTGTGTGTGTGTGTGTGTGTGTGTGTGTGTGTGTGTGTGTGTGTGTGTGTGTGTGTGTAAAGTCGCTACCACACCACCAGCCAAGAGCCTGCCTGTGACAGACCCAGGAGACTCACAGTGTGTTTGTGAACATCAGCCAAGTGTCGATGTTCACGTCAGATATAAAATTACATTAAAAACAATGCAAACCTACACATGTGATCCTGAGTATATCCCCCCACACGTACCAGGCACCATGACAATAACAAAAGGAGTACATTCAACCCCACATGCATAACGCTACTCATAAACAGACATCATGTTCTCACACCTACCTAAAGGACTCCTTTCAGCTAAAAAAAACACAACAACATTGAATCAATGACTCACAAGCTGTAAAAAAAAATATATTTTTTATACAAGTTGTACGTGAGTCTGTAAAAGCTCATACACATCTGGACAGCTGTGCACTTGTACAGCTCACTATTATTCACGTATTCACATATTGCCACTCAGCCCATACACAGTCCTTTTCTAATATAATGTTATAAGATTGGTGGCACATTACCAATTCATACACAGTCAGTCCATAATACATAGCACATATTGAGCATATCCATCTATAGATCAGGTCCACATGTCCCTCATGTTCAAAGTGCCATGAAAGAGTGACTGAACCTGACAATTATATTCCACCACAGCATTATTGTAATGCATATAAAGCAATATGGATGCACACATAGGCCTACATAATTACAGCACATCTATACAGTACATGCATTCTTTACCTTCTCTGATGGAGGGAGGTTAGCAGTGACAAAGGCAGGGCAGTGCAGTCTGGTGTCCAGTCGAACCAAAGACAATCACATAGCAGGATAGAGAGGAGCCACAGTAACTCCAGATCACAGATCACTACCAGATGGAATAGGAGAGTGGGAGTGACAGAGGGAAAGTTCAGAGAAAGAAGGGGAGAAGAAAAGAGAGAAGATAAAAAATTGTGAGCTGAGGGACAACCAAAAGCACCAAATTATTTGCTTTCAAACTTTCCATGGTCTGCGACAGGTCTTTTACAATCCCCATATAGTAATGAGGCCATTTCATGTTGCAATTAGTTTGTTCTGAAAGAAAGAAAGAAAGAAAGAAAGAAAGAAAGAAAGAAAGAAAGAAAGAAAGAAAGAAAGAAAGAAAGAAAGAAAGAAAGAAAGAAAGAAAGAAAGAAAGAAAGAAGGATGAAAAGGGAGCTTTTTTAATTTTCGTTCTGATTCAACAAGAATAACTTTCATATTGCTCATGAATCAACAGAGATTAGTATCACAGTGAGACTGAGCGAGTATCTTGGACCGAAAGTATCTAGGATGTAATATCTTGGCTGAAGCTGAATCATACATTCCCTGTTTTTCTTTGAGCCCAGTACAAAGAGAGAGCTATCATGAACCAGTGAGCCAGGGATGGCAGTACCATTGTGTTGTTAGCTATTTGTTCCCTCAAAGGCCTAAAACTCCTCTCCTGTTTTTTCTCAATATATCATGTCGAACAACTGTAGAGCCTGAGATTAAAGAAAGAAAAGCTTTACTAAAGATGAACGAAAACTGACCACCAAAGGGGAAACCAATATCATATGAGCCTATAAACTGATCAGAATTAGCATTCAAGTATTTAGAGAACTCATATAATTCCAGCTTGTCTTAAAATGATATGTGTTTTGAAGATTACATTTCATATAGACAGGAAACAAGAGTCTGCCAGAAAACGGTGACAGACAGGATATGTCATAATAGTGCACACGTTCTGCAGAAGGTCCCTCTCTAGTCTGCGGGTGCATCCCATATGTCACCCTATTCCATATAGTGCACTACTTTTTACAAAGGGCCCATAGGGCTCTGTGGACTATATAGGGAATAGGGTCCCATTTGAGACACAACCTATACCCTACCATCAGATGCTAGGCTATCTACTTTCGGTAGACATTTCTTTGTATTGCAAATTATGTTACTTCCACCATCAGCAGGCCTGTCTTTCCATATTCCCTCTGACACTTCTCAGAGGATATTCCAGCTGAATTATGTCCCATTTGGATGCAAGGCTCTCGTATCACATAAATTATAGGATTAAATCTGGATAAAAAATAAACGATACAGTACACACTAAGAAAAGATGGTTCCTCAAGGGGTTCTTTGGGAAAAATGATGGTTATATGTGGAACCATAATGATTCAAATAACCCCTTTGAGCCGTCGATGGTTCTTTGCAGTTCACAAAAGGGTTATTTGCTCTTTTACAGCCATGATACATTGGCAATTTTTGGGGCAGTATTGCCAAGCAATTTAGATGGCAATGGAGTGGGGTATGAGACACTGGAGCAATGATGCGCAATGAGCAACATGGACATGAATAATAGATTTCAAATTAAGCATATAATCTCAATTTAAAACTGAACACAGTATATACAGTACCAATCAAAAGTTTGGACACACCTACTCATTCAAGGGTTTTTCTTTATTTTAACTATTTTCTACATTGTAGAATAATAGTGAAGACATCGAAACTGTGAAATATCACATATGGAATCATGTAGTAACCAAAAAAGTGTTAAACAAATCAAAATATATTTTAGATTCTTCAAAGTAGCCACCCTTTGCCTTGATGACAGCTTTGCACACTCTTGGCATTCTCTCAACCAGCTTCAAAATGCTTCTCCAACAGTCTTGAAGGAGTTCCCACATATGCTGAGCACTTGTTGGCTGCTTTTCCTTCACTCTGCGGTCCAACTCATCCCAAACAATCTCAATTGGGTTGAGGTCGGGTGATTGGTTTTTTGGTTACTACATGATTCCATATGTGTTATTTCATAGTTTTGATGTCTTCACTATTATTCTACAATGTAGAAAATAGTAATAATAAAGGAAAACCCTGGAATGAGTAGGTGTGTCCAAACTTTTGACTGGTACTGTATGTATTAACGTATCATGATAAAATATTGTAGTGAAGCAACATATGACACGTGAATTGGCCAACATTTTACTCCAACGTTGGAGTTGATTTTCTCTCGCTTGAGCTCAAAAACATTGCCATGTTTTCCAAAATATTTTGGAAGAGCAGACTGATCACATGACCAATATCTGCGCTCTGATTGGAAGAATTTCTAAAAAATTGCCCACTAGGTGGCACTGCCGATCAAGATTCCCCAGATACTAAAAAGTTGCTCATTTTCAATGTAAAATAGTTGCAGCAACTATTGCTGGCAACATTGCTTGGCAATATTAGCCTTTAGCGATAATTAAAATGTTGACTATTTGGGGGCGTGGTTGGTGCACAGTTCTATTTGTTCAACCGTGAGTGAGAGTATCATTCCAGTTTATGTAAACTGTCATGTTATGCCATTACATCTTAAATATGACTATGGCCAATGACGGTGTCTTGTGAAAGACTCACATATTGCTTGCGTCAATTGAGAACTGATACCTAAATCAGGGGTTTGTAAACCTCTCCTCAGGGACCCCCAGCCATTCCAGAGCTAGAGCAACTGATTCAACTTGTCAATTAACACAATAATAAAACCTATGGAATTTCAACAATATAATATGGCTAACCAAAAAAAAGAACCCTGTATTCAAAAGGTTATTTCTAGAACCTTTGAGATTGAGAAAGGTTCTTTATAGCCCCATTAAATAGGGTTCTATATAGCCCAAAAAAGCATTGTAACCATAGCGGAACCCTTTTTTGGTGCTACTGTATATACAGTAGAAACTTTTATAAATTGTTATTTATAGAACCTTAGAAAACAGTTCTTTATAGCACCATAAAGGATCCATTTAGAACCTTATGAGAATGGTTCCTTATAGAACCTTAAAAAAAAGGTTATATATAGCACCAAAAAGGGATCCGCCATGGTTTCAAGCCGAACAACCCTCATTTGGCACTATATAGAACCATTTGTTTTTAGTGTGCATGATACAGTGGTTTCCTTCCTCATTCCTATATGGCTGTCCATAGGGCTGTAAAATGTGACCATAGACAGAAGTACTCAACACTTGTTATAAACTGGGTGGTTCGAGCCATGAATGCTGATTGGCTGAAAGCCATGGTAAATCAAACCGTACACCACGGGTATGACAAAACATGTATTTTTACTGCTCTAGTTACGTTGGTAACCAGTTTATAATAGCAATAAGATACCTCAGGGTTTGTGGTATATTGCCAATATACCATGGCTAAGGGCTGTATCCAGGCACTCCGCGTTTCGTCGTGCTAAGTACAGCCCT